GTTAGATCACTCTCTGTGCTTGAGGTTTAAGATGTGAGCTCTCATCTTGTTCCAGCCACCATATCTGGTACTTGCCACTTCACCTGGGGAAGCCTGAAGGGATGTGCTCACCTCTCTGGAACATAAACCCAAATAAGTCAATTTTTTTCTTTTAAAAAAACATTACATGTATTTATACATATTTATAAGTTTTACTGTGATATTTCTATAAAACATAGATGGTTTGAGTCAAGTAAGAGTAATTGACATTTCTATACTTTATCATTACTTTGTATTTAGAGCCTGTACTAGATAGTTTTGTATGTCAAGTTGACACAAGCTAGAGTCATCAGAGAGGAAGGAGCCTCAGTTGAGGACCCAGCTGTAAGGCATTTTGCCCAGCCCATTGTAGGTGGTGCCATCCCTGGGCTGGTGGTCCTGGGTTCTATAGGAAAGCAGGCTGAGCAAGCAATGAGGAGCAAGCCAATAAGCAGCTCCCCCTCGATGGCCTCTGCATTAGCTCCTGCCTCCAGGTTCCTGCCCTGTTTGAGTTCCTGTCCTGACTTCCTTCAGTGATGAACAGCAATGCTGAAATATAAGCCAAATAAACCTTTGCCCCCCCCCATTGCTTTTTGATCCTGGTCTTTCATCACAGCAATAAAACCTGACTAAGACAGAGCCTTTGAGTGTCTCTATTTTAGTTATTCATAAAACATAAAATAGGTTATGGTGAGCTAAAATGACTCTGTGCTGTAGAGTATTAAAACTTCTGTGTTTTCTGGCACACATTTCCTAACCTTTACCCCACTCCCTTTCCCAGCCTTTAGGAAGCAACTACTCTAAGTTCACCTCATTTTAAAAACATTTACAGGAAAGAAAGAACAAAAGGTGTGTGCTGTTTTGCATTGAACTTGATTTATTTAACATAATGTACCCCAGTCCATTCATTCATTTGCCTGACAAAATTTCAACTTAAAAATGAGTAAATGATATGAATAGAGACATGGAATATGAAGGTAGGAAAATGAGATCTAGGCAGATAGTTCACTCAGTAAAGTGATTATTGTGTAAACCTAAGTACCCAAATTTGCCCCCACAAACCCGTGATTAAAGAGAAAAAGCTGGGTACAGTACCAGGCATGTAATTCCAGCACTGGGGAGGCAGAGACAGGATGATCTATGGGTTTTTCTGACTGCTACCTAAATTGGTGAAGTCAAATGTCTCATAAAAAAAAAAAACATGGGAAAGGTTGGAAGAAAAGAGAAAAGGGGAAATGATATGATTCTATTTTAGTTTCAAAAAATTCAGAACAGTAAGGTAGAGAGTGAAAGAGAAAGACATCTGACATTGGTCTCTGGCCTACACAAGCACACTTGCATTTGAATGCATGCACACACGTGTACACAAAGAGATACATGCTCATAGACACACACACACACACACACACACACACACACACACACACACACACACACACACACACACACACACACAAATTACTGATTTACTGTACGCAAATTACTGATAACTCTATTTTGAAATGTTTAGCATCATTAGCCATCAGAAAAATGAAAGTCTTACCTCAGCAAGTTATCTCAAACTAGTTAGAGTAAAGATTATCAAAAAGACAAAAAAATGAAACAAGCGCTAGCAAGGATGTGGCAGAAAGGGAAATTCTCTTAAACATTATGATGGAAGTATAAATTAGAACTGTCACCATAGAGAAGAGCAAGTTGCTCAAGACATATTAATATAGCTGCTATGTGACCTAACAACACAACTTTGTGTTACAAATTAAAAAAAAAAACTGAAATCACAACACCACACACATGCCTTCATGCTTGAGTCTGTAGCTAAGATGTAGATCAAATCACATGCCTATCATTAGTGAATGGCTCATGAAAACATGGTAATCTATTCATTCATGAAAAACAATGAATCCTATCATTTTCAGAAAAATGGGAGGATAAATTAGAAGAATTTACCTTCAAACACTGAAAAGTTTCCTGCAGGTGACTCCCAAGGGACCAATTATTTTTTTTCACTCTGAAAACTTTGGAAGGAATCAAAGCAATTATCTCCTTCCTAAAGAACACACACCTCAGTTTTTATGAGTGTATCAGGGCACAAGTCACTTGGATTTTTCTCTTCTATAGATTCTAATATAGTTCTTTCCAACTTGTTCTAGATATGTTTCTATTGCTGTGATAAACACCATCACCATAGGCATCCTGGGGAAGAGTTTGTTTTCATTTCCAGTTTATAATCCATCATCAAGGGAAGCCAAGACAGGAGCTCAAGGCAGGAACTTTGGGGCAGGAACTGAAGAAGAGACCATGGGGGAACTGCCTTGCTTATCTACTTTTTAAATACAACCAAGGCCCACGTGTCTAGGGAGAGCATCCCACTCCATAGCCCCCATCCCTGGCAGTGAACTGGACCATCCTACATCAACTAGCAATTAATAAAATGCCCACAGGCCAGTCTGATGGGGTGACTCTTTAATTGAATTTCCAAGATGAGCTATCTAACTCCTCTTAATCCTACCTGTAATTGCCGTTACATGCCTCTCAATCACGCCCTTCTTTGTCTCTCTCCATCATATCCTTCATTCCATCACGCATCTCTCAGTCATATCCTTCATTCCATCGCACCTGTCTACATCCATCCCTTGATACATATCATGCACACAAACTTTGGTCTTGCTCTCCTTTTCTGAAGTGACTTCTGGGTTTTGAGAATTTGGCTAAGGACAGACAATTCTCTCATTATCATGCAGAAACAACTCTGCCTTGTAGCTAACATAAAATGAAGGTTATTGGGGAAGATATGTCTTCTATTTTCCTAAACAAATTCTAGTTAAAGAGTGTTTTTGAAGTGTTTTCCATCCCTTTGTGGTATCCTTTTCCTTAGTGGTGTTCTTCCAGATCCTGTTTTCTAAAGGTAAGTTTTGAAAGGTAGATCCTCAGGAGTCTTGGTTCAAGTGATACTACTAGGTGGAGTTAACCCCTTTGTCTTCTAACAATTGCACTACCCACTTGTCAGCTTTCCTAACCACAACCACACCTTTGGGTAGAATATAGAGCTGGGGGGAAATTCTGCACTGATGAGAGTGATTCTTAGATTCATTGGTCCCGTACAACTTGGCATTCCTCTCGTCTGCCGCTGTGCTCTCCACTGTGGTGGTAATAGACTCCTATCCCTCTGGACCTGTATGCCCCAAATAATCTTTTCCTTTTGTAAGTTGCCTTGGTCATGGTGATTTATCACAGCAATATGAAAGTAACTAATACAAGTCTCAAAGCGGATGTGGATCACACCTCTAACACATGATCCTTTGGGGACATTAAGAACTTCAATGGTCTACTACTAGGATCATCTTTCATTCCATTGATTAAACAAATCTAAAATCTAAACTTAATTGGTTCTGCAAACTAGTTTTTCAATGATAGGCTATTAATTAAGTTACAGAATATTAAATATTAGTATTTTACCTATCTGTAATGAAGAAGGTAGACTTCAGAAGAAATGATGCGCTTTGGGAATATGAAAATGTTGGGTAATATAGGGGACAAAATCAGAATTGTTTACTAGGAACCAGTAGAAATAACAGATCTAAAGATAGATTTCTGAAGAAACCATCTAAAAGTCTAAGGCATAAACACAGAATAAAAAAAAATCTAAAAAAAGACACTTGTTATATTAAACAGTTAGAAGGGATGCAGAAAGACATCCCATTCTCAAGTCTACAAAAGACAGGAAAACATAAATATGTCTAATAATTGGAGAATTGGCAGTCCAGTCAGCATGAGAGAGCTTATAACCAAAAAGCATGAAAATAAACTCTATATATTTTGTAGACTTTGTCTCATTTTGTCCTTGGAGGGCATTTTTTGTCTTATTGGTCTTTTACTTCTATATTTTTGTTTCCACTTTTGTGAGGAAGGGGAAAGTTTGTGTCAGGTGTTTTTTGCTTTTGGTTTGTTTGTGGTTTTGTTTGTTTTTTAAAGTGAGAGAAAAATATGAAGTTGGGTGGGTAGGGGGTGGATAGGATCTGGGAGGAACCAGGGGAGGTGAAAAACATGATCAAGATGTATTGTATGAAAATATTTTTCAATTTAAAAAACAAAGAGAGGAGGTAGAGGAGGGAGCAGGGACTCGGGCACTTGGAGATGGAGAAGACACTTAGCTCTGTGTCTGGGATTCACAAAATGTTCAAGGAATGTGACCCGGAAGTGTTGATGTTCTTTGCATGTTCCCTGATATCTAAAGTTGACTGTGGTCATGTTGTTAGTTGAAAAGTCACTTCCTGTTTCACTATGTAAAAATCACTTAACAAGGTCTGTCTTCTGAAATGTCATCAATACATCAGATCTTAGATTCGGTATCATCTAGAATACATACCATTTTCCAAGTGTCAAAGATAATTAACTGTTCCACGTAAGCTTCCATCTCTTCATTTTCTTAGCTCAGTAATGATGATCAGGACAAAAAGCTGATGACCGTGATGATGACTGAGTGATGAAACAGTGACAGATGTAACAAAGATGGGAGGGGCTAAGGGAAGCATTGTGACCATGAGAGGGTTCAGAGCAAACCATTAGGGACACGCTCTTCCCGAGCAAAGGTAGAGAGAGAATGCTGTTCCTCAATGCTCTGTCCTCAGAGCCTCTGTGAGAAAGATAAGTCCTGAGCCTGGAGCTCCACTTTCCAGACAGTTGAACTAACTATAGTCTGAGGAGCTTTTAGAAGAGTAGCATAGAGGGGGACGTGGACTCAGAAGTCTATTAAACCCTGCCTAAATAGTTCCAATAGAGGCATCGTCTCCTGCCTCTTCAGTCTTCCTGGAGTCATCTCCATCTGCTGCTTATGCCTAGAGCTCTTTCCTGGTCCCACCAAGGGCCCCTACCTAGCCATATCTGCTGGGTCTGGTAGACATCCCCAAGGAGACAAGTGGGCAGAGAATTCTGGACTCTGCTGATCTTCTTTCTACATCTCACAAGGAAAGCGCTGAACCATCATGAAACTTTATTTTTATTTGGTCATCCTAGCTGGTATGTATTTAAGACTTCCTACTCTGTCCATTAAAGAGTGGGTTAACGTAGAATGGGGTGAGGCAAAGTGGATGTGTGACTGGTGCACAGAAGCATCAAGAAATACTACTATGAATAGAGTTGGGTCTCCCCACTTACACCCTACCCAAAGGGTTGGCACAGACAGTCCATCCTAACTGTTAAGCTATTGGATAGGTTATGGCCCATCCCTGTCTTAGCGAACCCTCAACAATAAGGTTGTTGTCAAATATGGGTCTCATTACCCTCTGGGAAAACCCTAATATGGTCACAAGAACAGAGAATCCATTTGACTTCTGATCCCCCCTCCTTTCTGTAGCTTTTGAATGCAGGGAATTGTAAAGGCAGGAACAAGAGGATTGAAACTATGGTCCCTACTTGTGCAGCTTCTGCCTCCATGAAGCTTGGATTGAAGAATGTCCCACCACTCCCTAATTTCCAGAGCCATGTCACATACTAGCCAGGTTGAGATAGGGCCAGTTAATTAACCCAGCACCTAATATAGAGCTCAAAATCCCTTATTAATAACCTATCCTCTTTGCTTTCAAAGTTTTAAGTGTGCTCACACAGATGTGCGGTGAGGTATAGGCCCAGATGTGGGTCAGCAGAAGTACCAGTAAGGAATGACAAAAGAGGACTAGACTCAGCCTTCCTCTCTTTTATACTTCACTACTATTTTTTACAATATTTCATTAAAAATAATGTGTTCATGTTAGAAATTTGGACATTTTAAAGGTAGAAAAAAAACCATTTATAATTGACTTTTCCAGTCAACACATACTGAATTTACTCAGTTATTTTCTGCATTTAATTTGATTGTTTTCGGTTTTGTTCTTAGGCAACTGAATTGTAACATATGTATATCTCATTTTTACTCAAATATCACTGATATTATTTTTGATGTGTTCTAAGTGTTTATCTCAATATCAAGTGATATATATTAGATATTTATCCTTCCAATGTTCAACTGTTATAAGTACTGGTAAAAATGAATACACTTATTAATCATCTTTGCCTACATCTGATTATGTCTTTAAAGTAGATCCCTACTGTTAGAATTCTCAATCCACAAGTTATGAACAAGTTACACTTCCTGGTGCTTATATCTGAATTGATTCCCAAGAAAATAAAATCAATTTATAAGCAGTAAATAGATCTTTCTCATCATGCCCCTTATTAGAGTAAATATAATCAATATCACCATTGCTTTAAATCTTATATAAAGTATGTCACTTAAATTTACATCTTTATTTAAAAGAATGATCTCCAATTGGTTATGCCTTTAAAAATTGTGCACAACTCTTTTCTGCTGGGCAGGTGTGAAGGTCTCACTTACTCTCACGTTTACATGTTACTGTTTTCTCAGGGACAGCTTTATTCACTCACTCATCTGTGCAGAAAGAGGATTATGCTCCTTATATAGTCTACCTCAAGTCTAACTTCAACCCCTGTGTGGGTGTCCTCATCAAGGCCCAGTGGGTCCTGGCTCCATCTCACTGCTATTTACCGTGAGTATTGAGTATCCCCTCCCCAAATGGGTTCTACTAATCCTAGAAGGTGAGTCTCAAGTAAGGTTAACTTCCCCCTAGGACATGTTGAGAAAGTCTGAAGGTATTTGGGGTTTTCTCAATCAGGTAACAGGGCCACTAGCATCTAGAGAGAAGCACCCTGGCAGGCTGCTGCTAAAATTCCTATAGGATACAACACACTGCCACCTAGTACTCTGCACTGCTGTTGAAAGACTGACTCAAGCCAATGCCCCCTATTGCCCATCAGCATTTTTTTTTACTGGAAATGATTACATTTAATCAAATAGGGGCTCAGCAGGTGACTCAAACTTGTAAACTGGGTAAATTGGAAAGAGAATTTTTAGAGGAACTAATTGGAAAGAGATGGTTCCATGTCCCACAGAAGAGGTATTGAGGAAATGCAGTGACCATCCTTATGCCTAAGAGGAAAGAATGGTTTCAATAGAAGAGGGGTGATCCTTCATCAGATGAAAATACTGTCTGATAGGAACAGTAACCTTTGCCAAAAGACATAAAAAAAAAAAAAATCTGTGGCAATGACTCCTGAGGAGGATCTGGAAAAACAAATAGTTCAACCACACCCTTCTCCCTCCAAACATTTTCCCACACTTCCTATTGACCAGAAGCCAGAGAGAAAGCTGATTGGTTTAAGACACAAGTCTTTGTGGGCTTGCTATCCAACACTCTGTCATTTCATTCTCGTGTGTCCACTACGTTGAAATCACACACTTGGATAAATGAGTCCTGGAAAGGATCTGATACAAACTTTTACATCCGTGTTCGTTAAAAAACAGTTAAGAATACCACTTTTTACTCTGACCACATGTAAATTACCACTATGTGACTATGTGCGCCCAGTACTGTGAGAAAAAAAAAAAAAAAGATTCAGTAGTTATCACAGCACCCTGCCCAACGTAGCACCAAAATGAGGGTGCTGAGTAACGATGATGATCGTGGTGGTAGTGGTGATGATAGAAAGTTAACTGCGGTCCCTTCCAACCCCTTCTTCTCCAGAAATCTGAGGGTGATGTTGGGAAATCTCAAGAGCAGAGTCAGAGATGGGACAGAGCAGACAATCCATCCTATTCAGATTATCCGCTACTGGAACTTCAGCCACACCGCCCCGCAGGATGACCTCATGCTCATTAAACTAGCTACGCCCGCCGTCTTCAACCACAAAGTCCAGGTCATTCCCCTTGCCACCGCCAATGTCCGGCCAGGCACTGTCTGTTCACTTTCAGGTTTGGACTGGAGTCAAGAAAACACTGGTAAGTGCACCACAGCAAGTAAAGCCATCTGTTTCACCCAAGGAACATACACGTCCTTGGAGCTGTGAGATAAGAGGGAGCAGAAAATGGCTAAGGGCCAATGGGGGAAGCTATAGGAGTAGTCTAAAAAAAGAAAGCTGTTTAGAAGTCCAGCACTTCTCTATTGTCAGGGTTTCAACTGAACCCTTACGGCCTCTGCAGGACTTTGGCATCTAGATCCCGTGGGCTGTCTGATTGCATGGAGACCTTACTGTCTCAGCCCCAGTTATATCAAGGAGGCAATGGTTCTGCTTCCCCGTGTTCATTTCCCATGTAAAGGACATCACAGACAACCTGAACCAGCTAATTTGTAGATACAGAGTAGAAGGAACACTGCTTCCGCAGCGCATACGATGACTCCCCAGTGGTAAAATGCCTGCTCTGTGCACCTGCTGCTTCACCTGTACAATGAGGCTTATCAATCAGCTGGGCTAACTCTCATTGATGCACAACTCTTTTTTTTTTTTTTCCTTTTTCTCCTTCCTTATTCTCACTGGAGGACAGGCGGTGAGGGTTAGGGGAAAGCAAGCCTTGGGCTGAGGCAGATGCTGCTCTTCCTTCAGGCAGGCACCCTGACTTAAGGCAGACTCTGGAGGCTCCGGTGATGACTGACAAAGACTGCCAGAAAACTGAACAAGGAAGCAGCCACAGAAACTCTTTATGTATCAAATTCGTGAAAGTATTCAGCCGAATTTTTGGGGTAATCTTTTTTTTTTCTGTGCTCAGATCTCATTTATACTTGTACATGTTTAGTTAATTACTTACCCATAATACAATTTAATTTCCAAATAATTTTTAAGAATTGGGTAAGGTTATTGTGATGACAGCTGCATTGTTTTTCTGTCATAGTCTTCCTACAATGGATCTTTATTTATTAAGGGGCGTCATGTAGCCCCAGTTAGTAACATACTGCCTGGTGTTCATTATCATAGCTGAAAAGAAAAGCTATGAAAGCAAGCATTGTTTTACATTTTGAATTTTTTCCTCTTTCTCCTTCCCTCCTTTCCCTTCTGTTTCTGGCAGGAGGTGGCCGTAGCTACTGCCATTTGCAAAGGCAAGCTCCAAGGAATTGAAGTTGGGCACTTCATGGGAGGGGATGTCGGCATCTACACCAATGTTTACACATACATACCATGGATTGAGAGAACCACTAAGGAAAAGATGCACTGATGCCCCGCTTTTCCCTCTGCGTCCCATTGTCTCTGCCATTGACTAAAGGAGGTCACACGTTCCCTAAATGCAAATAAACCTGCCAAGTAGAAAGTTTGGGATGCAGCACACTGGGAGCCTGTGTCTTATTTGTGTCTATGTCCACATCACATCATGACGGGAAGAAACAATCTGTTGTGGCATTGTCCTTGGTTGTGCTCTCTAGTGTGTGTAATGTTTGCAACAAACCTTTGAAGTTGTCTTCTATCCCCCTTTATAAATCAAATTTTGAGGTTAAAATGTCACCATTAACTAGTTGACATCAAAGCTTGGAATGGAATAGAATGCGCTTTCAGTGCAAATGTGTTGCTGTGGGCTCATGGGTGATTCATAAAAAAAATAAGAAAACTCAGGATAGTTCATTAAACTCCGAGAAAAGAAAAAGTATGCCTGAGGGAAATTTTTGAGACAGGCTTGAAATCTTTAAATCTTGGCAGCCACCCACAGAAAGCAAATGAATAGAGAGAGCTGGAAAGGTGTGCTTTCTGGGGGAAAAGCAGTCAGAAATGGGTCCATTGAAACAGGGTCTGTGAGCACCTACCCAAGGAGATGAAACCTTTGGGGTTTGTAAACATACAACTCATTAAAGGAGCAGTCAGTCATTCCATTCCTTTCCTTACCTTGTCTTCGGGGGTCCATTTTTCTTTCCACCTTTTAGCTTACACTGGTCTTCTTTAACAGGTAAAGCAGGACCTTTTCATTAGTGGAGGAGGGATTTCATATTGAAAGATGCTCTTTGTTTTGTCCAGACATGGGGATCATATATTGTCTATATCAAAAGGTGATATAGATAGACTAACCTATATCATGTATCATATAGCTATATGATAGATCAACCCTGAAATTTTCGGCAGAGAATGTTATCCATACTGATAATGATATATCCAAGAAAGCACCAGGGAAGCAAATAGTTAGAGGACAGGAGCCCTTTGCCCTTTCGCTGCCTTCCTGACTACCATCCCCTCTCCATATCACATCAGATACTGGATGCTGTTTCTTTGCTACCTCGTCAGCCAAAGAGCTTCTAGTGACTAAGATCTCAAGTACTAAAACAAATTGTCCTAAGATCTGCTCGTGTCACGGCTGTGCCAATAGCAGCTGCAGAGGAAGAAAACATGGGAAGAGTGAAGTAAACAGTGAAACCTTAGGCCAGTGTCAACAACTGGAAAGCCTGCCCATTCAGCTGCAAGGTAAAGATGTCATCCATATGTAAGGAGGATGGCAACCCTGGCAGCTGCAGGACAAGAGAATCAGAAGACTGAGACGAGGCAAAGAGCAGAAAATACCTTTAACCACAGATGCTGACCATGGCCTTCGCCAAGGCAGAAAAACGGGTTCCAGTTTTCAGGCTGAGAAACTAGCAAGGCATTGCTATACATTAAATGGCTTTGTGTAGCATGGAAAATAAAAGACACAGAGATAGATATGGGGGTTCAAGCTGAGGGTCAGATAAGCAAAGCAGCCAGCCACTAGCTCTTATCTCTACCTCAGACTGAAAGGGGTAGATCCTGTCTCCAAGAACTCTCCTCCAACTCTCAGACTGCTGCCTCTCCTCAACATGGCTAGAGATTAAATGCAGACTGAGACACTGGGCTCCTGGCTTTTATGTACCTCTCTAGGACTGGGATTAAAGGCATGAGCTCTGTTAATCTTTTAGACTGATGTACTCTCATGTAGCCCTGGGTGTCCTTGAATTCACAGATCCATCCGGAGTCCTGGGATTAAAGGTGTGTGCCACTGCTGCCTAGCTTCTATAGCTAACTCGTGTGGCTGGCTTTGCATTCTAATACTTCAGGCAATCTTAATTAAGTCATTAAATAATATATCACCACAGCTTTGTACCCTCAAAATCTTATGTTGAAACTTAATTCCCTAAAGTGATTGGGTTGAAAGTGGCAACTTAGTAGATGGTTAAGTTATAAGAGTGGAGACTCAGTGAATAGTACAGAGGTCCTCATAAAAGACAATCCAGAAAGAAACTTTCTACACTTCTGTCATGTGAAGTTATGGCAAGAAGATCTCAAGTTTCTAACAAAAAATACCATAGCAAGCCAGACAACTGAGTCAAAAGTTCCCTGTCATAGTATATACCTACGAGAGAAACCTGGAACAGGAAGCAGCATTTATAAACTCCTCCAGTATCAGAGATTAAGAAAAGACTGAGTTACAGTGGTGCACAGCTGGAGTCCAGTTCATATGCAAAGCTTATAACAAGTGCAACCTAATGTTTTCACTATGGGTCCACCTGTCCAAATAGTTTTGATTTATAGTTGGTTTCACTCCCAGGAGCACATTTTGTTTAGAGGTACCACACCCTGTGGTACAGTAGTGTGATTCCATAGAGGCATTTTGTACAATTGGCAACTTCATGACATGTGCCCCGAAACACGCATGACGTGACTACTTCTACTGATTGTGTTATTTTTCATAGAACTCACAAAAACATCATCTTCAAATTCAGAGAATTTGACTTCTTCCTCTATAATCTATATGCCTTTTATATGTTTTTCTGACCTCAATACACAGGCTACAGCTTCCAGGCCAACGTTGAAGTGGGAAGACTAGATAGCATTACTTTATCCCTGACCTCAGGGGGAAATAACCCAGCCTGTCACCATTGTGTGCATGTTTTAAATGCAGTCACTTGAGGTTGCATCCCATCCCTAGTTCGCAGATGTTGTTTAATTACAGAACGTTGAACCTTGTCAAATGCCTTGTTCTCATCTACTGAGATAACCATGAGGATGTTTGCCTTGTATTCTATTAAAGTGACATACTACCCTTAAAGACTTGCAAAGGAAGACGGAAGTTCATAGCACTAAGTGCCCACATGAAGAAACTGGAGGAAAGTCACATTAGAGAATTGACAGAACAACTAAAAGCTTTAGAGCAAAAAGAAACAAACACACCAAGGAGGAGTAGACGCCAGGAAATAATCAACCTGAGAGCCGAAATCAACAACGTAGAAACTAGGAAAACAGAACAAAGAATCAATGAAACAAAGATTTGGTTCTTTGAGAAGATCAAGAAGATAGACAAACCTCTAGCCAAACTAACCAAAAGGCAGAGAGAGAGAACATGCTAATTAACAAAATCAGAAATGAAAAGGGGGATATAACAACGGACACTGAGGAAATCCAGAGAATCTTCAGGTCATACTTTGAAAACCTGTATTCCACAAAATTCGAAAATCTAAAGGAAACGGACAGCTTTCTGGATAAATATCACTTACCAAAATTAAATCAAGATCAGATAAACAGTTTAAATCGACCTATAACCCCTAATGAAATAGAAGCAGTCATCAAAAGCCTCCCAACCAAAAAAGCCCGGGGCCAGATGGCTTCACTGCAGAATTCTACCAGAAATTCAAACAAGAGCTGATACCAGTACTCCTCAAACTGTTCCGCACAATAGAAGTAGATGGGATA